ACAACAGAGTTGCAAGCGCTGGTGGTCATTTCGCATTGCGCCCCGTCCCGAGTCCGTCGCGTCCCACGTCGTCTTCTCGACCATGCTCTTTGGTGGCGAGTCTGCTTCTTTTTGTACGCATGGCTACCCCAGCGGCCCCAGCGACGTTCGCCGTGATGCACCGACGCGTCACGGAGGCCGGCGTCATGGCTGCGATCCACGAGTTCCAGCGGCGCAAGGCCGACGGAGACGACAATGATCTCCTCATCGCCGAAGACGTGCTCCTCCGTCGCTGGCTGGACGGTCGTTTGTCCGGCCTCGCCGTCTTCCGAGCGACGTACGAGGGCGACGTCATGACGGTAACGACCCGCGGCGACATTTTCATCACCGAGGTGCCTGGTCAAGTGCACCAGCAGGCCATTTTCCGTCTGAACTGCGTTTTGGACGCCGCCTTGGTGGGAACGCCGTTAAATTCTACCATAGGCGTGGATTACTACCATGCTGGCACCGTCCGCAGACCCGACCTCGCGATTGAACCGAGACGCGCGATCCGCGGCGACCCCCGGAGCCATTTGCCCCGCTGCATGATCGAGGTCGCCGTCACGCGCCACACGTCGTTCAACAAGTACGACCTGCACACACGCGCGCTCTTCGCTGAGTTTCCCGTGCTTCGGACGGTACTTGTCCTCGTCGTCTACCCGCTGCGGAACGCGGCAACACTTGACCCCAACATGAACCCCATCTTGGCGCAGATGCCCGCGCTCGCTGTGCTCTACCGTCGTCTTGGCAGCAACATTGCGATCACGGATGCCATGAGCTGCGGCAACTACGCTCTACACGGGAACGTGCGCCTTCCCGGGGGTGTGGTTGTGCGGAACGAGGTCGCTGCGATGGCTGCCGAGCTGCCGCTTTTCAACTTGGGCCAGCCGTGGAACCATGGACCTTTCATTACGCTGCTCGGTGACGATCTGTACCGCGCCTCAGATGGACGTGGCCATATCATGCAAGGCTTGCTCCCCGACTACCCCGTGCATTTAGCAACGACGATCGCAGCAGCGATTCGGACTGGATACGAAGAAGCAACCCCCGCCAACGGTCTCGCCGCACAAGCTACTGCTGTCCAAGCAGCTGCACAAGCTGCCGTGCAAGCTGCTGCCGCACCGAATGTCCGACGCCGCAACCACCGCTACAACCTCCGCCCTTGAAGAAGACTCTCTTCCAAGCGTCATCGTGACATTTCTTGTTTTCGTTTCTCCTTGCAACTTGGCAAATGACAATTCAAAGCGTTTGTTGTTCGCAGATGTTGATGTATGGAAGCTCCAATACAATTGTACCAGTTGCACAGCGCATCGGTGCTCGCAAATAACACAAGCGCGCCGTTCCCGTCCTTAAAGCCGCACAGATGTTTGCTCCTACCGCCGATATGACGTGGCGGCACGCCACGGTTGACCGTTACACTCGCTGGTGTACTGGTAGCTTGCTGGTGGACCATATCTTTATCCGGATCCGCGGTAACTGGAATCAAGGGAGGCGATATTATCGTCTTCGCAGATGTGCGCGAATAAAATTCGCACCATTTTTCATATCCAGTTACCCACTGGTTGCGAGATTGCCAAATGAGTGTTTTTTGGAGGCCTTCACTCCAATAGATCCGTCGATCCGCGGCTACGTGGTTTAGGAATGTATGTAACGAAGTTCAAGCTCGTTGATTGGCAACAAGCGACACACTTGCCATTTCTCGGAGGGGTTGTATCCCGGATGACAACCCCTAAAAAATGGCTTTGTTATGTGTGAGGCTTGGGTGAGCTGCGCTCAATTGCGGAAACTTCTCGCCGCCGACGAGGTGGCCGTCAACCGTGGACATCATGTCTTCGCGCGCATGAAGCACTTGAGCAACTGGCGACGTCGCTTGGTCAGCTCGTGCGCGACCCATCCTGCTCCTGAACTTCAAGCGGGAGTGAACGCTCGGTTTTTTGGTGGTTTACCTTACAACTCAGATGGGCGAGTGCACTCAAACGTCGCAAAAGCTTCTTGTCTGAAGCCGACGTCACCGCAACAGAGCATTTCCCTTTTCACGCGCTTCAGCGACAATGGCCACGTCCCAGAACAACCCGCTCCTCGCCGACTGGTCGTCGCAGCCGTTCTCGCTCCCGCCCTTTGGTGCGATCCACGCTGCTCATTTCCAGCCCGCGATCGCCGTCGCCCAGACCGCGCAGCTCGAGGAGCTCCGCCAGATCGTCGAGAACCCGGACGAGGCCACGTTTGCCAACACGATCGTCGCCTACGACCGGTCCGGCGGCCTTCTCTCCAAGATCCTCGGTGTCTACTACAACCTGTGCCTCTCCTATGCGCCGCCAGAGCTCCAAGCCGTCCAGCGCGAGCTCGCGGGTCCGCTGGCGGCCTTTGACGCCAAGGTCACGACGTACGCGGGCCTTTTCGAGCGTATTGAGACCGTCTACTTGACGCGCGAAGGCTTCAACGCGGAAGATCGCCGCTTGATCGAGCGCATTCACAAGGACTTTGTGCGTGACGGCGCGCGCTTCGACAAGGCAACCCAGGTCCGCTACAAGGAAGTGCTCCAGGAGTTGGCGCAGCTCACGACCAAGTTCACTCAGAACGTCCTCGCCGACGAGACAGACTACACGATCGAGCTCTCGGAGGCCGAGATGAACGGCTGCTCCTCTGATATCATTGCGTCCGCCAAGCAAAACGCGGCCGACCGCAACGCTGCCGACGGCGTCTACATTGTCACGCTCAGTCGCTCGATGGTCGAGCCTTTCCTCACGTACGCCACCAACAGCGTCGCCCGCGAGAAGGTCTTCCGCGCTTTTACGTCCCGCGGCGAGCCCTCGCCCGAGCGCGACAACAACCAAATCGCAAAGCAGATCCTCAAGCTTCGCATCGAGCAGGCTACGGCCCACGGCTACAAGACGTTCGCTGACTACCAGACGAGCGACACGATGGCCAAGACGCCGGACGCCGTCAGCAACCTCCTCAACCGCGTCTGGGCGCCGGCCAAGGTCGCGGCCAACCGCGAGCGCGAAGCCCTTGAAGAGTACGCGGCCTCGATCGGTGAGAGCAGTGTTATCCAGGCGTGGGACTGGCGCTACTACTCGGAGAAGGTCCGTCAGCTCCAGTACGACATTGACGAGATGACGGTCAAGCCGTACTTTAGCCTCGACCGCATGACGGACGCAGTGTTTGACGTGGCGTTCCGTCTCTTTGGCCTGCGTTTCATTCTGCGCGAAGGCATTGAGACGTACCACCCGGACGTCAAGGTCTACGAAGTGCGCCAGACGACGGCCATTGAGAACGAGGACAAACTCGTAGCGATCTTCTTCCACGACAACTTTGCGCGCAAGTTCAAGGCTGGCGGTGCATGGATGAGCACGTTCCGCAAGCAGAGCCGCAACGTCGACGAGAAGGGCACGCATGTCATTCCTGTCATCATCAACAACAACAACTTTGTCAAGGGCGACCCAACGCTGCTTTCGTTCGACGACGCCGTTACGCTCTTCCACGAGTTTGGCCACGGCTGCCACGGTATGCTCTCGGACGTCACGTACCGCCGCCTCGCTGGCACGTCCGTCCTGCGCGATTTTGTCGAGCTCCCGTCCCAGCTCATGGAGCACTGGGTCAAGGAGCGCGCTGTCTTGACCAAGCACGCCCGCCACTACATCACCAACGAGCCGATCCCGCAAAGCCTTCTCGACAAGATCAAGGCGGCCGCCACCTTTGGCCAGGGCTTTGGCACCGTCGAGTCTACGGCGTGTGCGCTTTTGGACCAGACGCTCCACCAGCTCGACTCGGTCGATGACCTCGACATGCTTGCGTTCGAGGAGGCGGAGCTCGCCAACCTCGAGATGCCGACAGGGATCGCCATGCGCCACCGCATTCCGCACTTTGTGCACCTCTTTGCGGGCTCGAGCTACGCGGCGCTCTACTACGTGTACCACTGGGCCGAGGTCCTCGACGCCGATGCATTTGACGCGTTCGTGGAGGCGGGCGACATTTTTGACGCCGCGACAGCCAAGCGGGTGCGAGAACACATCTATTCGACGGGCAACTCGGTGCCCCCAATGGACGCGTACCGTGCGTTCCGCGGCCGCGATCCCGTGATCGAGCCAATGCTCAAGAAGAAGGGACTCTTGTAAGACGTGCGGCGCCACTGACAACATAAGCCGAGAATCCAAGTCGTACATATTGTGATGTGTTTCTCTACTAACTTAGTTATTGCAGTAGTATAGCACACTTGTTAGCGCTGGTGGCCTGTAGTTGTGCGATCTGTGCCTGACGCTCGAGAAAGTGCACTTTGCCGTGACGAAATCCGGAATAAATATGCATATGTTGTCTTGAAGTTTGTAAGCGGTATGCAGGGTCGCCAGTTGGATGCTGCGGCCGCGGGCATTCGTCCGGTTCCGTTCCACCATGTCGACGACGCGGTCGTCCTCTGCGCCATTGCGCGTGATCTCGCTTCTGCCGTCGGCCACCGAGCAGCTCGCCAGCATCCTTGCCGCGGCGACGGCACTGGGCACGCCGTCGGCGTCGCTGCCAACGCTGGTCGGGCGGTCGCACGAGTGCGACTACCCCGAGTCGTTTGCGTCCGTACCCGTGTTGACCAAGCCGCGCACGACGTTCACCACGTGCGAAGACGTGCACAACGAGGTCCTTTCATTGCTGCAGACCGACAACTCGCTCTACGAGATCGACACGACGACCTTGCTCTCGCTGCGCGCCGACCTCATCCTCGTACGTCCACGCTGCCTTTGCCGTCACATTCAACGAGTTGACGTGTTATCCAGGTGCAAGATGTGTGCAAGGTGTGCTCGATCGACAAGCCGAGTGTTGCGTGCGCCGTGAGCAACGGCGACCACCCGACGCAGATCCTTTTGGTCAACAGCCGGACGCTACCCAATGCGCTCGACGACTCGGTGCGGCTTCTCGGCGACGCACTCCAGCTCCAAGAGGCTGCAAATGACGTCGTGGCCGCCAACCACGCCCGACAAGCCGCGCTCGCGGCCGCTGCCACCCATCGCGCGACTCCACCGATCGTCTACATTGTCGAGTGGCTCTCGCCGCTCTTTGTCGTCAAAGGCTGGGCCGCCGAGATGGTCGAGCTCGCAGGGGGTGCAGTCCCGACCCAAAGCGGCAAGATCCTCGATCCGTCGTCGCTCGAACCTGCAGATATCATTGTTGTCGCGCTCTGCGGCCTCGACCGCGACGTGGCCAAGCGCGAGCTCGGTTCCAAGCCGCTGCCTGCGTGGTGGACATCGTCGCCGGCCGTGGCTGCCAACAACGTCTTTGTCGTCGACGGCAACCAAATGTTTAACCGCCCAACCAACCGGCTGTTGGACGCGCTCGAGTGGCTCGTGCATTTGATACATGCGCCAGCGAGCATCGAAGCGGTGGCCGCGATCTCGGCGTTTCCATTCGAACGCTATGCGTCGCCGTCACCACCGATGGTCTTGTCGGTCCAAGACAAGATTGATGTCGCCCACCAAGCCGCGTGCGACGCGCACGAAGCACGCTACGAGGACCCGGCGACGGGGTATGGCGTCTTTACAGCGTGGTACCTCGGGGAGCGCCAAGCGTGCTGCGGCAACCGGTGCCGCCACTGCCCGTACGGCCACGTCAACGTCCCGATCGAGAACCTCGGCGACGCGAGCAACAAACTCGCATCGTCCGTCTTTTTAAAAGCACCGAAACCGATGGGCGGCAGCCGACTCGGCTACAAGAAACCATCGCGAGGTGTGGCCACCGAGACCATTGTGGTGTTCTGGAGCGGCGGCAAAGATTCTCTTCTCGCGCTCGTCGACACGATCGCGACGCGCGAGCCGCATCAAGACGTTGTGCTGCTCTCGACGTACAACCCGGACGACAACATTTTGCCGATTCAAAACATTGCGCCCCGGACGATCGTCGAGCAAGCGAAAGCGCTCAACCTCCCGCTATTCCTTGTGGCGGTACGATGCTTGAGAGACGCGCAGAGGACTGAGGATGCTGTAGACGCCGACGGGCAGCAACTACACCAAATGCGTCAAAGATGCGCTTCGCGAACTCACGACCAAGCACGTAGCGTCGCCGGGTCGCATTGGCTGCCTTGTGTTTGGCGACTTGCACTTGGCGGACGTCAAGGCGTGGCGCGACGCGACCTTTGCCGAGTATACGCTACGCAGCCCGCTCTGGGCGCGCGACATGGCGACCGACCTGATCCCAGCGTTGGACGACGCGTGCGCCACGCTGCGCGCGACCGTGCGCTACTCGGCCGTCGACAACGATCGCGTCCACGGTCTCCTCTCCATGGGCGACGAATACGTCCCGTCCAAAGTGCCGGCGCACATAGATCTCATGGGCGAGAATGGCGAGTTCCACACCGTCGTGGTCTTTGCGCCGTAGCTCGCATACCTTTGCAATAAGATGCAATAAGATGCAATACAATATGGCGTGGTAACACTGAGGCACGGGGTGGATTACTGTTTCATGGGCTGTAGACAAGAGCACCCACGACCAACAACGGCAGATGCTTCGTTGGCCAGCAGACGAGGCGATATGGGTGGTGGTTTGCAGTTGAATGCGTCGGGTCGGTGGCGCTAGGTGTTTGGATGAGTGACCGAGCTGTCGAGGCGCCAACGAGTCGCATCGAGAGGGCCTGTGGTGATGGCCATGCGAGGTGGCGGTACTATAGCACAGACAAGGTGGAGGGAGTCAGGAGGTCGTTGAGCGCACCCAGAACGAGTGGTGCCTGGTTTGGCGTCCATCCGACTGCCTTTCTAGAGAGAGCAAAGGACAAGATTCTCGAACGTTGCGAGGACGGTGACGTCGTCGGCGCGGATGTCGCTTCGTGCTCATGCTCACTGGCAAGATGGCGCGAGATCGGAATGAAGGCCGCGTGCATCCAGAAGAAACGAAACCGATGCCCGAGAGCTATGCCCGAGAAGTAGCTCCACAAAGTCGTCTGATAACGCGAGGGCGCGTGAGACGAAACCGAAACGCCGATACTATCTCTGCGCCCAGATCGGCGCCAAAAGTGTCGTGCCCCATTCAGCGTGTATGTGGGCACGACTGCGACATCCATTCTACGTCTCGTAGACCACGATGCATCGGCTGCGCGACAGACGCCGCCATGATCATCCACGCCTACGCCAGCGCGCGATATTGTAATCAAGCTCGCTCGCTTCCTCGACATCTCATCCGGTAGCTACTCGTTCCTACAAACGAACGCGAGTCATTGGCCGCTGCGGATTGCGCCACGGCTACTCGAGTCCTACCCTACCCTACACGGTGATAGCTTGAGCAAATACGCGTTGATAGCCTCTCTCCTGCACCCGAAGCAAAGACGCGAGCATGGGTGGCGTCAACATGATGCGAGGAGTTCCATGCGCCATATTCGCTCAAACAGTCGCAGTATGTTGATGCAACACCGGACCCGACCAGACGCAAGGCCCCGAAAAAAATACACGGTGCACCACCAGCTGGTTTCGCGAAATTGCCCTTTCTGTTTCAAATTGCCCTTTGTCGCGGGGTCACTTTGCATTTCGACGACACTTCCGAATGGAGTGCCATGTCGAGGGCAGCGAGGCGCTGCGTATCCAAGCCGAGATGCAGGCAACGGCGTTGGACTACATGGCGCGGCAGTGCCCGCCCATCTCACGCGACACGCAAGCCATCGACGACGGGTTCAAGCTCGCCACCACCAAGGTCGGCCGCGTCTACACGCGGCGCGCCGACAACTCGTCTTTCAACGAGCTCCTCGTGCTCAACACGCTACCCATGAGCTTGGACGAGGTCGGCGAGCTCCAGCACTCGTCGACCAACGACGCCTTCCGCGTCGAAATGGCCTTGTACTATGGCGACGACTTTTTGGACGCGGCCATCTTGCACTCGTCCGTGACCGCTTCGACCCGCGACCCGTTCCAGTGGTTTGGCGTCAAGTACAAGAAACTCAACATCCCGGGCAGTGGTTTTACCGACTGCCGCGACATTGTTTACTTTGAGGTACAACAACATTGTCATCTACCGCAACGTGTCCCATGTGCATCGATAGTATATGGCAACCGCGATCGACGCGGCCGGCCACCGGACGTTGCTCATCGTGCGCGACTCGAGCTACCTCGAGGGGTACCCCGTGCAACCCCACGTCGTGCGCATGTACATCAAGGCGATCTTTGTCTACACGGAAATGCCGTCGGGCGAGGTCGCGTCCATGCACCTTGCGTTTATGAACCCCGGCGGCGTCGTCCCCGCCTTCCTCTTCAACAAGCTCTTGATCAAGTACGGCGGCCTTTGCAGCAAGTTTCCTCGCTTCCTCCAGCAAAAGCGGCTCTTGCTGCGCGTGGCGGCCGACGGACCGGCCAAGCGGCACCAAGACCACGGCCGTTGTGTGGCCTGCAACACGAAGATCTCGGGCTTGAAGGCCCGGTACAACTGCCGCGCGTGCGGAGACGTCATGTGCGCGCACTGCATCGTGCAAGTGCCACGACCGCTCGTGACCAAGCTCGCGCCTTTTGTGTCGAAAGACGACTATTGCAAGCGGTGCTTTGTCGGCAGCAGTCGGCAGCCGAGCTATGTCGTTGTGCAGTCGCCGAGCCAGAAGGCGGCGCATTTGGCGCAGCAGCTTGCGCACTCGGAGCGGCCGCGCCGGTCCAAAGCGCACGCGTTGGCGAGCGACAGCAGCACTCGCGTGGCATCCGGACTGCACCATACGTCGCCGGGGTTGAGTCGACGGGAAGCAGTAACTACCTCGACCAACGGCGAGACGACAGTGACCACAGTCACCAAGACGCTCGACGACCCGTTCTTTGAGCGCATGCAGTCGTCGATCGAGACGCAAAAGCAAATCGTCCTCGACATGCGCGAGCGCCTCGCGCGTCAACAGCAACACCAACCCTAATCGTGATTCTTTATAACTTAAATCGGAGCTATTTGTTTTGTATACCAGGATACGTTCCATCGTGCAGCCATCATCAACCGCGCACGAACGATCACGAGACGCGAAATCGCAAACGCACGCCAAGATGGTGTGGATACAAGTGCTACTTTGGATACTACTGTTTGCAGTAGAGAGACGAGCTGCCCCGTCCACGTACGTGGGCTTTTTTCAAGGCAGCCGAAACGTGGGACGACGGAAGAGGCGCACCAGCCTCGGTCAAGAGTCCGAGCAGCCTGCTCTTCTCCGGCTCCTCGCGGGTGGCTGCGTCAGCACCTTGTCCGGCAAATCGCGCTCCTGCCTCCGCCTGCCAAGGTCAAGCGACGACTACCTTTGAATATATACCTGCGTGCCGACGCGGGTTGCTCACCGTCCTCGGTACATGTATCATGGAGCTCGTACTGGGTACATGCGAAGACGTGCGAGCAAGCGACGTCAGAAACCAAGGTGTGGGTTGGATAATGATGTTGGCTGATTCCGGCGGACAGCTGCACGAACCTTCGAATCGAATGTTGTCAATCGCTATCTCAGCTATCTCAACCCTTGTCGAAAATTCATGATTCGAATTACTCAGTACCTTGTTGTCGCTCACAAAATACTGCCACTTTTGCCAAAGCCTTCCTGACGGACTCTCGAGGAAACGAGCATTCCGTGATCAAGTGGCGTCAACAACTCGTTGTCAATCGACAAGACAGTCCGCACGGCAGCACCCACCGCTCCCACAACCCTAGGTCCCATGCTGTTCGCTAAGAACGACAACTAACTAGTACACTCAAGCGAAAACATTCAACTAAATTCATACCTACCTACATTGAGAGACAACAGGACGACGAAACACAACACACTACACCGAGCTTGACGACCGACGGCGGTGCTCCCGCAGAAACGCCCGGAATTCATCCAAGTCGGCTTCATGGCTGCGGTGCACGTACTCGCGCACGCAGTGGCGGTACACGTCGTCGCGCAAGACCGGGTCCGAGATGCCAATGAGCTCGTTCCGGAACGTCGATGATGTCTCGATGGGCAAGAAGCCGCTGCTATTGCGCATGCCCGTGGCGACCGTCCCAAGCTTGATGACGGTTTGCGTTGGACTCACGCGCTCGGCGACGACCCTAGTGCGGATATCAGAAAACACGCAACTTGAACCTGTGTACCATTGGAGCCAGTCGCGTCGAACGTCTTGGTTGGGGTATTTCTCATCTTCCGAGACCGTCTGGACGACCATGGTCACGCGGTTCTCTTCGACAAACTCGCGCATGAGCGTGTTCTCATAGTAATGGGCTTGGCCGCTGCAGTACGGGACCTGGTAGCGCCGATAGACCATATCGTGGTCGGTCTCGTCCAGTGTCTAAACACACGCCATTTTGACTTGGTGTTTGCGTCAGAAAACGTACCAGGTCGTAGCCGGGCATGTGCAGCACGGACGACAGCAGGTACGCGCGCATCTCGTGCAGGGTGACGTCCTCGACGCGCTGGTGGTAGCTCGTCAAGAGGTACGTGTCGTCGATAGGCGCAATGTCGACCGAGAAGTACGGCTCGAGCGAGACCGGCAGCTTGCTCTCGTCAAGGAAGCGGGGCATGTTGAAATAGAGCTGCCGCGTGATCCAGTCGAAACCCAAGTGGCGGGACGCATCGCGCATGGGCAGCGACGTCTGGCGACACGCAATCGCGAGCGACGGTGGCGCGCGCTACACATGCCTGAGGCCATGTATCACGAAGAAGAGTCGTACGCTAATGGCCGTCATGTCGTAGACCCATTTCGAGAGGTGGGCCGCGAGCCGCTCGTAGTGGCGGATGTTCTGCTTGAGGCTCACGTTGGCGTCAATGGCGAGCATCGACTCGCGGCTAAGTGCGATCGCCACGTCCTTCCATGGCAAAAGGCCCTTCCGAAGGTACTGGAGCTTCTCGGACTGGCCCTCGAGGTCGGTCACGAGCGCTTGGAGCCGGCTGAGCTCGGCGCGCTTCTTCATCTGCTGGCGCCGGTCGTACATGCGCTTCTTGGCCTTCTTGTGCAGGAGCGCTGCATCCTCCGCGTCCATGGTGCTGCTGGAGGGCGTCCCGACCTCGTTGGCCATCGTCGTCTTCCGATCAAAAATGGCAGAAAATGGCCTCGAAGTAAACGAATCGAAGTTTTTTTTACATACAAGCGACAAGTGATCATATTTTGTGACAAAAAGAGGGTCCTCACAGCAGCACCGTCCCAGCGCAAGCAGCGAAATGCGAGCATCAACAAACCAGCCGAGCGTGGATGCCAACCAACAGAGGCGTACTACACTACTACGTACGTACGAGTCTAGTCCATAGGTAATCTTCTCTTATTTTCTTTTGTACATCTGGAGAGCTCACCTTGCGATGTACATGCACCGACGACGAAGCCAAGCACGACAAGCACCCTGGGAACCAGCAGAAAGGTGATACAAGTACCTTACGAAGAAATACCTCTGAACGTTGGCTTGGTGATAGGCCTCGATGGGGGCGTCCACGTCGTTACGTTGGATTGAGACGGGTCTTCTTATCGCCAACGTACAGATTTGCCCAATGAGCAGAGCGCTGCGACGCTGTTCGCCACTACATCGCCGTCCGAGCGGCGTTTATGTGAACGTGCACAAAGGACGGGAGAAAGAAGGGCTGATGATCGTTGCTGACGCATTCGAACTTTCACACTTCGAACGCTTCCATCGTTCGTTTGTCAAATTCTTGATCGAAGCTTCTTCTCAGTACGTTGCTTGCAAAATCGAGTTGATCGCAAACCGAGTGCTCGCAGGAACAAGACGAGCGACGGGGTTTCTGAACGTGGCTGAGTGTACAAGGATGTAGACTCGCAGATGACGCGACACGCGTCAATACGACATGGCTTCGTGTGAAGTCGAATCAGCTTGTTCGGCGGCGGTAAGACTCCAAGTCGTTGGAAGCAGCTGCGGCGAATCCGACACAAGCTTTTCACTCCTTATTCGTTGAAAATGACCTAGTTCGCAACCACAGCATCGTCCTTAGAACAGCGTTGCATCCGCAACATCACGTAGCTCTGGGACGCGTGGAAACGTGCTGCACTCCCGTCCTGCACCTCTATTTGTCGAACTCGTCCCACGGCCAAGCCCGGTTTGCTACCGTTTTGATAAGAGCAATCGATCCAGCAAGGCCCAAACCAAGCAATGCTGCGCTCGCGTTTGCGCTACGACGTCAACCGATATACTGATACATTGAAACTAAATGCCGTATCAGTTTTCACCAACTTGAACGCCGCATAGCACACGCTGTAGGCAGCCTACGAGCACGATTCTTTGGTGTTTGGGCTTCCTGGAACATTCTCTGGGCACAGAGAACAAAGCTAGAGACTTTGTTTCAAAGTCCAAATGTGGTCGACGACTTGCCGAGCGGCAGCCATGCAAAACAAATCCGGATAATCATGTCCGGATAAAAACGACACCCACGCTTTTCGGGTGAGACCCACTTGGACGACACTTGGTACGTCAACATCGAAGGCAAAGTTCGCTTCCATGGCTCAGCGCACAGGCCACATCGTACACGAGCCTACCTGCAACGACCCTTAATGAATCAAGCTCGACAATCTCAAACGCAATCGGAGAGTAGGGTTACCCAACCCAGCCCAAATATTAGGTCTACAAGTACCGCATGCTTGCAAAATTCGCACATTCGCAAACCCAGCGCATACCGACCGAACACAGCTGCATTATAACGCATATACAGTGCCGAAACGAGAGATTAGGGGTGCTTGGCAAAGCGCACGCGTTTGGCGAGAATGTCGAGCTTTTCGCTCAGCGTTGGAAGTTCGTCGCCGCAGTCGTCGCAGACACTCGCTTCCAGTGCGTTGACATGCCCGCACATGGCACACGCCAGGTCGCTTTTGATCTTGCCGTTGTGATGTTGCTGGTCCAAGCGGCTCGCGGCGAGACGCAGCTTTTCTTCCAAGCTGCGCAGTGGCTGGTCGCAGCCGCTGCAAATTGTATCGCTGAGTTGGTTCCGAGTGCGGCAGCGATTGCACGTCACCGACAGCGTCAAGTCCAACGACTCGTCCATTGACGCCTGAAAGCGTACCCAGGTCGTCTCTGGCGACGTCGGATCGACAGGACCCACGGTGTCTCCGTCGAACGGATCAGGTGACGACAAGTGCGGACGCAGAATGTCCAGGATCGCTGCAGCTGTCGGGCGACGCGACGGGTCATGGTCCAAGCATATGGCCACAAGATTCGTGAGCCACTTGGGACACGGCGAGGCGAGGTGCGGGCGCAGACTGCCGGCGCAGACACGGTCGCGGACGTCCCAGGCCTTGAGCTTCTGGTTGGCATACGGCTCTTGCAGCGTCTGGAGCGCTGTCAAGAGAACACCGAACGAGTAAATGTCGGCAGGAAAGCCATAGTTGCCACTCGGTGCGAGCACCTCGGGGGCCATGTACGAGATCGACCCGCGCTCCGGCGTCATGTAGGCTTCGGAGACAGCTCTGGAGATGCCGAGGTCGCCGACCTTGATGTAGTTTTTGGTGCAGAGAAGAATGTTCTGGGTCTTGATATCGCGGTGCATGACCCCGCGCTCGTGCAGATCACACAGCGCAAGGGCGATGACCCAAGCGACCTCGATGCGCGAGAAGGCCACGGCGGGCTTGAGCCCACGTCGCAGTGTCTGGAGGTGCGCTGCGAGATCGCCGGCATCCATGAGCTCAAAGATGAGCTTGGGTTCGTCCGAGTATGGCTTGACGACGGCGAGAAGCGGCACGAGGTACGGCGACGCATGCCTAGACAATGGGAGTGTGATCGCATGATAGTTCCACTAAGGTGCTACGCAGCCAAGAGTGAAATTTCGTTGCGAAGTGACTCGGCGCCGTCACGTCGCGCCGACTTGATCGCAACGTCGTGGCCAAAATACGCGGCTTGGAACACTGCACCGTAGCCGCCGGCACCGATCGGCGGGCGCGGCGGTGTCTTGAGCTCCTCGATATTGGCCTACGCCGTTCGATGTGAGAATGAAGTAAGCACCAAGGCCGCGTACGAGATGCACTTGGCCGTAGAGCTGGCTATAGAGAGCGATGGCAAGTTGACGGTCGCCGCTTTGAACTGCCGCCAGTACTTCCTGGCGCATTGTCTACGCATCCGAGCGAAAGAGGAGTCAGTGGCATGTACACAGCAAACATGCGATACCTTGCTCGGGGCCGACCACGTCGCCGGTGCGGGCGGAAGGGACGGTGTCGCGGAGGGCGTCGAAGAAAGGGGACAACATTGTGGCGCCGACGCTGTGTGAGGCATCACGACGACGCTGTCCGAGACCACCGGGTGGTTTGCCTCCTTTTCAGCTTGCTTCTCCATGTGATCCGGCTCGGGGCTGTGGGGCCGAAACGGTTGCGGCGCAAGTCCGTGGAGTAGGTGGACGACCGCTTCGGCGGTCGGACGATCTTTCGGGTGGTGCGCGACGCAGGCTTGAACGAGCGACCGGAGCCAAAACGCGCATGAGAGTGGCAGCGTCGGGCGCAACGTGCCAGCGCAGACACCGTCTCGGATCTGACGTGGCGTCAAATCGCGGTACAGTACATCCCCGACCACGAGTTCGCACAGCAAGATGCCGAGCGCATAGATATCCGAGGCAGAGCTATAGTCGCCGGACGCCAGCACTTCGGGCGCTGCCCACGCCAGCGAGCCGTCGATGGAGCATGTCGACTCGGTGGTCGTGGACGAGGCCGCGCCGAGGTCGCTGAGCTTCATGTAGCTCACCGAGCTCAAGAGAAGGTTCTCGGCCTTGACGTCGCGGTGGACGTAGCCAAGCGCGTGCAGATCTGATAGCGCGTTGGCGACGACCCATGCCGCGCCAGCGACAGAGATCGTCATGGGACGCTCGTCCTTGTCCTTGGCCAGAAAAGCGTGCAAGTCACCGAGGTCCATGAGCTCGAGAAGCATCTTGGGCTCGTCCGACTCGAGGTCTGCAACGCCAACGAGCGATACGATGTACGGCGAGTGACACCTAACCGCACAGAAGTTTCAGTTTCATCGTCCAGGAGCGATATAAAACTAGTACGTTTGGAGGACGTGGACTTCGTTGCGCAAGGCGGCCGCACCATTGCGAGTGGCCATCTTGACAGCAACGTCCTTGTTCTTGTAGACACCGGCGTAGACCGCACCGTACGCACCGACGCCCAAAAGGCCATCGCTTGCAAAGGCAATGTCGCTGGCGTCGACGTCCAGCGGCTTACAACCAGGTTTTGAAATCGATTTTGAGGCGAGGAATACACTGTACCGCATCATCGTTGTTCGTGCTTGGAGCCACGGCGTTGTGCAAGACTGCCGTCGTCTTGCGGTAGCGGAGCTGGACAGCCAATGCAAACGGCGTCTCGGGTTCCCACTACACAAAAGACACCGTGTGCATACAAAAAGCACAGCGACTTTAGACTGGCAAACGATGCATCGGGTTGGCGCCAGCGTCCAGCAACATGTGAACAATGTCGACTTGACCACGGCGCACGGCTTCATGCAGCGCCTTGCTCGCATCGGCACCGGCCTCCAACAAGGCGTGCGCGACGAGGGGGTAGTCCCCAAGGACCGCTGCGAACAGCGGTCCATCGTTCTCCTACGTTCCAAGAGGATTTTGTTATGGGTACACATGTGTACAACTTGTCTATACACTGTGGACATTGGCCCCCGCATCAAGGAGGAGCTGGACGATCTCTGCATGGCCAAGCTCGGCGGCAAGCAATAGCGCGCTCTTGTTGTGCTAGGATGAGACCGATAACGTCACTTCAAGTAGACAGGTGAGCATAGAAGAAGCAAAATACCAGCGATGTCCCTTGGAGGGTGGCGCCCCGCAGTAAGAGCGCGCGCACACGGTGTACGTCCCCGATGCTGGCCGCCGTCACGAGGTCCTACGATGAGGTAGCTCTGAGGATGATGCATGCCCTATCGGCAGCTCGGTGTACAAGGTCCATGATCTCCTCGTAGACAAAATGCGACTTTGAAGGCTGGTGGCAGCAGTCAAGGTCCGTCGTTGGGATGTGGCGCGGGTTGTCGTCCTGTGAGTGGCTTCAATTTGGATATTTAGCCAATCAAAAGCATCCATTACTCGAAAAACCAGCCAATCCAGAGTCTTGATTTTCAACCAATCCGAGGCGTCAGAAGCAAATCCAAGATTTCGAAGCTCATGGCATCCGCAGCACCCAAGGCCCCGTCGATGAACCTCGACGACCTCGACGACGACGACGATAACGATGGCCACAGCAGCAGCGCCAGTGAGAAGGTCCGCCGACTGGCCTCGCAGCTCGGGCTGCGGCGCAACGCGACGTCGAGCTCGACCAGCGACGGCCACCGCAGCGACGACAGCAGCTCGCTCTCGCTGCCGCACTCGTTCGACAACACGCCCATGTCGACGCCTGCCGCGTCGCCCGCGCCGCCTCGGAACGTCGCCCAGTCGTTTGACCTAGCACTGCGCACGGCGCTACCTACGAAACTACCGCCACGGTCCGGTGTGCCCCACCGCACGGACGAGACCATGCGTCGGTTCTACGAGATCCAAGTCGACAAGGTCCGCGGCCAGCTCGCAATCGCGCTCGAAGAGAAGAAGCAGGCACAGGCCGCGCTGAGCACCGAGCGACGGTCCTTCCAAGAGTCGATAGCGTCGCTCCAAGTACGATGCACTCATGATCCATCTCTCGATTTCTCATGTGATTAGGTGCGGTATCGCAACGAAGCGAGCCAGCTCCAGACCGAAAAGACGGCTCTGGAGACACAGCTTCGCATCTTCGAGCACCGACTCAAGGCTGAGAAAGCGCAGTTTTTCGATCTGCGCATTCCCGAGCCACTGGCAAAGCAGGTGCTTTGGACATCATCATCGGCGCTGCGATCTCAGACAGATTGTCTGTAGCTCCAGCGCCAGAGTCATGACGCTCTCACGCTCGTCGAGTTCGTTCAAATGAAAGCATTCGAGCTCGTAGAGCCCGAGAAGGCGGCCACCGAGGCTGCGAATCGCCAAGTCGCGTCGCTGACGCAGGCCAACGCGACCCTCGAAGCCAAGGCGAGTGAATACCAGACCGACCAGCGAAAATGGCAGCGCAAGTGCGACGTCACACAGCACGAACTTGAGCTGTCCGAGACGACGCGGGCTGAGCTTGAGCGGCAAGTCAAGCAGCTCCACGCCAACGTCCAGGAGCTCAACGCGCTGCGCGCGACAGCGACGCCTGCGCCAATCGTGCCCGATGCTGTTGCGTCCCAGCTTCGCGAGCTCGAGGCGCAGCTCGCGCTTGCCGTACAGGCGCGCGACGCGAGCAAGGTCCGTGTTTCGAAAATGGACAATCTGTCTTCAATCGGAGCGTGTAGATGGAAAGAGAGCAGATGGAGCAAAAGCTGTCGCTTGTGCTCGTGGACAAGGACTACCTCGCCAAAGACAATGCGCGCCACGAGGTCAAGATTGCGCAGCTCCGGGACGAGCTGCAAAGCGCGCAGGCCAGCGTGCGCCGCCTCGAGCTCTCGAAAGAGACGTTTCTACAGCAAGTCAACGACGCCCGGGAAGAAAGCAAGACCTTGTTCGAGGTACACCGACTTGATACATTGATATATATATATTTGACGAGCTAGCACCGCATGCACGTGGAATTGACCAAGCTCCAAGACGTGGCCAAGAAAGAAATGGACGCTTTGCGGGACAGTGGCAAGACGCTCTTTGAGCGCGAGAACCGCATGCTGCGCGACGCCCGCCAGGACGCCCAGCAGCAGCTGGAACATGCAAACAAGCGCTTTGCCGACCTCCAGCGCGCGTACGAAGACAAGGTGCTCGAACTCACGCGCCTCGACGCGCAGTTTACGACCAGCGTCGCCCAAGTGCGCAACGAACTCAAGATCAAGCATTTCGAGGTGCGCGCGGTTCCGATTCCGATTTGACGTACAGGGTGATGTAGCTGACGCAATTGAGCCGCAACTACGAAGAGAAATCGCAGCACCTCCAGCTCGCGCACTTGGAAATCGACATGCTCAAGCAAAAGGTACGGTTCGACAAAGGCGAGAGGGCTCAGAGTCCGTCGAGGTGGACGTCCACAAGGCGGAATTTCAAAAGCTCGAGACGCAGTCGGCCAATGAGCTGGCGCAACTGCGACTCGACGTGGCAAGCTACGTACGTACAATCTCCTAGTATCAAGGTATCAAGTTTATGGAAGCAGCGCGACAAGCTCCACGCGTACGAAACGTTGGAGGTCGACATGGACCACGCGATTCTCCAAGCCGGTGCGCTTCCCGAACCCACGGATGATGCGACTGCGTCGACGTTTGCGATGATCCCGACAGCCCCCAAACGCCGGGTTGGTTTTCAGTTTCAATGTATCAAGCTGTAGATTCGGAATAGTTTCAACAAAGCGTGCAGCTGGCTCAGAAAGTCGTCCAGTGCGAACAGACAATCCAGCGCATGAAGAGCGAGTACGCCTCACTGCACAGCGCGCGCGACCAGCTTGTCCGCGAGCTCGAATCTGCGCAGCGGCAGCTGGCCCACATGCACCAGCCACAGGAATACCTCGTACACCATCCTTTCAATCCCGCAGGATAGTCGATTGTCTAGTAGATCGAAAAGCTCAAAGGCCTTCAAGACGAGGTCCTGGCGCGGCAAACTCAGGTCGCGCAGTTGCAAGCGGCGCTGCAGCAACAACAAGCCGACGCCAACGACCTCCTCCACGCCAAGCTCTCACTGCAGTCGCAGCTGCAGCAACTGCTCAGCCGCCGTCACGAGCTCGACACCTTAAAGGACATGGTCCTCCACACCCAGCACAAGCTCGCACGTGCAGCCGCCCCCGTTGATGCAACGTCCCCGCCCAAGACAACGACCGAGCCAACGACCGCTACGATGGCGCCAAAGTGGTATCAGAAGCTGCGCAGTGCACCGGCGGCGTCACCGTAAGACGTACTAGTTGATAACAGACAAATATGTACACAACTGTCGCATTCATAATCGTAGGATTACGTCCAGAGACGGAACGTGCAGTCGGAGCTCGCACTCGCCATGTAGCGCCCGACCGGATCAAACTTGACCGACTAGAAACCACGCAAAATACATCAGAAAATATAAGAAAAACATATAAGAATATAAGAAACTCAGACGAGCACGTACCTGGACGGGGCCGTTGTGGCCGCGGAGCTCCGAGATGAACTCGAACGTCTTGGCATTGCACATCTTGATGGTACCGTCGTCGCTCGCGGCGGCGACAACAGCGCCGCTCTTGTCAAAGGCGACGCTGTTGAGCGGCTGCTGGCCGCCGTCAATCGTCGCACGCTCAGCCACCATGCGCACGTCCCAGAGCTTGATGAAGCCGTCGGCATCGCAGGATGCGATCGTATCGCCCGTGATCGAGAACGCGACGCTGTTGCACGTGTTTTGGTGGCCGTAAAAGGTCTGGACGCAGAGCCCCGATCTAATAATCGACTACTAAGTCTCCATATTACAGTATCGCAAGTGGAAAAAGTGTACCGAATGTCCCAGATCGAGATGGTCTTGTCGCCCGACCCGGTGCAAATGTTGACCGTATACGGCTGGAAACAGACGCTGTTGACCGAGTCGACGTGCCCACGAAAGGTTTTGCGGCACTTGCCCGTCGCGAGGTCCCACAACTTGCACGTGTGGTCCATCGAGCACGACGCCAAGAAGTCGCCGTCGTGGTGAAATGCACTTTCCCACACCTAATAGATAAAAAATGAAAGTGAAAATGACCCACTTTGTCGACAAATAAAGGAGTACCGGGTGCGCGTGGTCTTGCAGCGTCAGCGTGCACGACGCCGAGACAAAGTCCCAAATCTTGACGGTGTTGTCCCCGGACGAGGTGGCAATGTGCGTTCCGCGCGGATGAAACTCGACGTTGGCGATCCAGTCACGATGGCCTTCGCCGCTCATGATGAGTTCGCAGTTGGGCATCGACCAGAGCTTCCACGTCTCGTCGTCCGAGACGGTCGCAACCACCGGGTTCTTTGGGTGGAACGCCACGGCGGCAATCGAGTTGAGGTGGCCCTGGAACGTCTTGACAAGCTCCACGCGCTTGATCTGAATCGGGTCAAAGCGCTTGTCTGCGTTCGGGTTTGCAGCGTTCTCGGCCGGCAGCTTGGTGTCCGTCTTCTTCTTTTTCGTTCCACCGAGGACCGACTTGGCCGGCGACGACTTGGAATTGGCAGATTTCGAGTCCTTTTGCTCGAGTGCGCGCACTTGCGCCTCCTAGTTGATCGCTTCAGACTGTAGGATTCTTCGAGTTTTGTCAAATCGACGCACCAAGGCGTCGGCTTTGGCCATGCAACGGTCGCGCTCGAGGCGCATGAGCATCTTCTCCTTCATTGCGACCTCGTACTTGGACCGAAGCTCGGCGAGGAGCGGCTCGTACGCTGCAATGTTTTTGCGAAGCTTCTTGATCTTGTCCATGAGGAGGTTCTTCTCCTGCACGACGCGCTGGTGGTGCATCTTGTGGACGTCGCGCTGATGGCGAAATTTGTCCCAGGTCCCTACAATCACCTAGCTTTTCGTACAGAGACACTTCGAGTCGGCTAGCACCTTTGGCCTTTTCCGTGATTTTCTTGGTTTCATCAAGCTGCTTGCGCAAGGCTTTGACCTACAAGAGCCATCGTCGGCCCAATTTCTCCCAATACACGAGGTACTTGGTCGTCGAGCGCTTGGTTGCGCAGGTAGATGTCGGGCACGACGCCAATGTCCTCTTCCTTGAGCTTGCCTTTGGCCATGAGCTCATACCACTCGGTGTTGAACGTGTCGAGTGTGCGAGGCATGGCGATCTTGATGAGAAAATTGCGAATGAAATCGTCGACGACCGACGGGCGGACTTGGGTGCTCATGGCCATGGGCCGCGCCGGCGCCGCGAGGGCATGGCTGCCTTTTTGGATCGGCGACGGCGCCTTCTCGATAACGACGTCATTCGCTTCCGGCGCCTTGTTGAGGTTGCGCAGGACGGTCTGGAAGTCCTCCTCGTCGTCGTCCTCGTCGTCGTCGAGCACATCGACGTTCGTGTACTGAAAGTCGTCTTCGTCGTCCGAGAGCTCCATCTTCTCGAGCTTGAGGAGGTCGTCGTCGGTCAGCGACTTGCGCTTCGTCAGCGTTGCGCCATTGTTGTTGCTCGGCTTGGCCTTGGTCGCCATCGCGGCTACACACAACTCCCACGTCTCTTCAAGATCGTCCGGATACTGTGCCACCACACCATTTACACTGTACGTGGAATAGTGTTATAGACTTGGGTAGGTGCGACGCGGTTAAGAGCGCTTTTTCAACCAATCGCAAGCGGCGGATTCTTGCCGATGCTCCGCCAGGCCAAGCAAGCGCTGCCACCGCGGCCCCGCGGGCTCTCGCCGCTGCAGGCGGCCTTGTACGTGATCCAGACGCGGTCGAGGCTGCTAAGCGCATGGCTGCTGGACGTCATGCCAGGCTTGCCGCCGCCGCCGCTGACAGACGAAGAGAAGAAGGCTGAGGCGAAGAACCAGTTTGTTGACCTCTGGACACTGACGCTGGCGGACCACCGCAGGCTATGGCACGAGGCGTGGAAGCAATACAAGGGCTCGTTTGGCCCCGAGAAAACGGCGTCCAAGGATCTCACGGTGGCGCTCACCGCCAAGGGCCACGAGGTCAAGAGCTCCGTCGACACGCATCTCGCGACGCATCACCCCGAGCTCAAGGCAGAGATCGACACGTGGAGTGGCCAGGTCTCGGAGAAGCTCGTCGTCATGCAAAGCGAGGCCAAGAAACACGCGGCCGAAATGCAGGTCCAAGCGCAAGCACTGGACGTGGAGAGAATCCCCGAGCACGTGGCCGACGCCGTGGCGTCCCTCAAGCAGCGCAACGTTGTCGACGTCAAGCGAGACATGGAAGAGTGGGCCATCGACAAGCTCCTCGTGGGGCGGCTCACCGTCATGGGGTTTGTCGAGGGCTACCGCGCCGGCAAGGACGAGGAGATGGCGCGGGATACCCCGCTGCTCAAGACGCTGGCCGAACAAGCGACCGCCAAGCACAAGGATGAGATCGAAGCCCGAAAAGCGCAATTCCTCAAGCTCGTCCACGAATTTGACGCCAAAGAAAAGCTGAAATAACAGATGCCACAAGGCCAAAAAGTGCAATGTTATCAAAAGTATCAAGGTATCAAGACCCGAGTTAATACGGCTTGTGGAAGGCGCAATGCGTGGAAATGTCTTGGCGGCACGTCGGGCACTTGTTGCGCGGGAACCGACCGACGCACGCGCTGCAAAACACGTGGCCGCAGGGCACGAGCACACGGTTGACGTCGTTCTCAAAGCAGACCGAGCACGTCATGGCCTCGAGCACGTCCTTCTTCTCGGCCAGCGCCTCCTCAATGCGCTCGGACGCAGCGCGGTAGCTCTCTTCCGCGTGCGCCAAACGCTGCTTGAGCCGCAATGTCTCTTGAAGAAGGGCTTCGTACGGCGCGCTGAGACTCATGTTGACGCGACCGAGGAGCTCGTTGACCGCGTCGAGTACCTGCGTCTCCGAGACAGGTAGCGATGGCACCGACGACGGCATCGACGTCACAGCCGCCGTCTGCACCGCCGCCGTCGTCGGCGTCGCCGTGGCCGCCGACAGCGTTGTCGACTGCCGCACAGATTGAAACGAAAACACTTGGGTCGACGGCAGCCACGTTGTCGTATGCTTCGTGTCGACGCACAACTGGACTTGCTTGAGCCCGCCGGTGGATTGTTCGGCGAGTACCGTCGCGTAGACGTGTTCGTGGTTGCTGCCTTCGATTGCGACCACCTCGCCCGGCAAGAACGACCGCAACGGCTTGAGCTCGAGGGCCAGCATGTCGACGTCGCAGAGCGGTGCGCCAGGCACCCCCCGTGCTTGCAAGACCCGGCGACTGCCAACGCGGAGATACGCAAGCGTCTGCGGAATGTCCGAGCTCTCGAGCATCGCGAGGACGGGCGCGCAGTCGAGTAAAGCGTGTGGCATCGACTGCTGAATGCAGAGCGCGACGACATGCGACAGGCTCAGCGACCCGGGCGTCGTCACATAGAGCACCTTGGCCGTCTCGTCGATGAAACAGAGGCTCGACGGGTCTTTGGTCACATCGAGCCGCCCGTTGCGCACATAGAGACGCGTTGCAAGTGTTTCGACCGCACAGATCGCATGCTCGCGGAAGCGCAGGACGATGTCGTCGTCACTGCCGACACACACGGCGGCGAGGCCACGCCCAAAGGCGTCCGAGCGCAACACGGCCGTCATCGCGGTGGTGTCGACCGTGGGCACCAAGGCTTCCCCTGGACAGAGCTCTTCAACCACGAGGTCGGACAGGCTCGGGACGTGCAGCGCGCGCACCACGGCATCAGTGACCATGCCATGGACAACGTGGATCGACGCGAGCTGCATGTGCATGCGCAATGTGAGCCGGCGTGCGGTCGCATCGTTGGCGACACACAACTGCAACGGCACGAGCTCGTGTGTCGTCGTTGGCAGCATGAGCGGGTGCGACAACGTTAGCTCCGTCTCGGCGACCAACGTCACCATCTTGACGACGGCGCGGAGCTCGTTGAGGTTGAGCACCATGCACTCGGTCGCGAGCTCGGCGAGGAGCTGCGCATAGTCGTTGGCGGACGGCGACTCTTTTGTGCCAAGGCGTTGAAACAAGTGGTCGTACGCACCAAAGGCGCGGGGCACTTCAAAGAGGAACGGCGCGAGGTTCTCCTGGAGACGCACGTAGACGCGACTGGCCTTCACAAAGCGCGTGCCAATCGGCAGCAAGGGCAGTTCGCAGAGTCGCGACTGCATCGCGTGCCCGAGCGTGTCCCAGTGCGCATCACAGTACGCAAACAGCTTTTGAAAGAGCTCCAAGACGGACGTGGCGTGCGACCAGTCGTCCAGCACAGTGGCGTTGCTCGTCACGCGCTCGAGCGTCAAGAGCACATCGGTCGCCGGTGGCGGCGAGACGACGTCGAGGCGGCGCCAGAGCACGCGGGGTGGCACCGCATACGCCAGCGCGATCGGCTTGGAGAAGAAGACGACGGCTTCATCCGACGGCACGGCGCAGTCGCAGTACCGCGTCAAGATCGTGCGGTCGGGCCCACTTAGCGCATGCTCGATCGCCGGGACAAACGCGATGGACGCGAGCTCTTCGAGAAACGAGCGCGCGCGCTCGTACTTGTCGTAGTGACGCGCAAAGGCTTCGTGGAGGGCCAGCGCGCCCGCTTCGTGCTCGGACGAGAGCGGGGTCGGCCACGACGCCACGTGGTTCGCACAGCGCGCAAAGACCGCCGTCGAGAGCTCATACGTCATGCCGAGCGCATGCAAAATGTCGAGCCACTCGGGTGTCGCGTACGCCGGCGCCGGAAACGACTCGGGGAACGACGGTAGCAAGACCGACGCCAGAACCGGGTGCGTCGGGTCGAGGAGCGTCGACGCTGGCACAATCAAACCGTCGCGCGTCGAAAAGAGCGGCGTCGACTGCAGAAACGCTACGAGGGATGCATTGCGCTGGAAGACCGACCACTTGCGCTGGATCGTGTCGAGGAGCGCAGTGCGCTGGACCGCGTCAAATGCGTCGAAGCGACCAACGACAAACTTGGCGACCATGTCGGCTTCGGTGAGACACGCGACATCGAGCTCCTTGAAGAATGCGAGCAGCGACGGCCGAGGCACGTGCAGGAACGACTGCTTGGTGTGCTCGGGGAGGTACGCTGGAAACCCGATGACCGACTCGTCGACAAGGTAGTATGTGTCGTGGCTCAGAATGCACTCGTCGCCCAAGAGCGAGTAGTAGAGCGGAAGCCCCCGGAGCTGGTCCTTTCGGCGCTGGTTGAAGCCGCCGTAGAGCGTCCCGTGGTCGGCAAAGTACGCAACGAGTTCTTCGCGGTCGGCTTGCGACGCCATTGGCCATTGCAGGCGACCGGCGTGGGACCACTTGAAGAGACCGCCGAGGATCATGAGCGCCGCGTCACTGGGCCGGACAAGCCACTCGTGGTGCTGGGCCTCGGGAACAAAACCAAGTTCGAAAATCGGAACGTCGAGGCGCGCCAAGAGCGGGTGCAGCCGCCGCGTGCCTTCCGACTCGGAGATGACGCCATCTTCGTCATCGACAGTTGCCTCGTCTTGCGCTGTCGAGACCGCCTCGTCGTCGACGGCCAACGAGATCCCCGCAGCGTCAACCGTGGCCTCCGACGCCGGAACGTTGTCGCTGTCCTCGGCTTCGCCGTCGGCTTCATCCCCCTCGAATTCTTCGTCCTCGTCCTCGTCCAAATGCAGCTCTTGCTTGGCGAGCGCATCCATGACGTGGCGTTCGTGGAGGTATGCAGCATGCTGCGCGTCATCGTCGGCGATTGCAACCTGCCGCTGCCGCGCAATCGACGCCGCAAGCTCCAAACTCGCGCTCCCGGGCTTGAGTACGAGCACGTCGTCCATGTAGCGACACCGAAGCAGCTCGTTCTTGCCAGCAATCGGGAGCAATGGCCATGCATGAAAGAGCTGGGCATGCTCCTTCTTGCCGACTTCCTTCCAAAACCGGCCGAGCCAGAGCGCAGAGACACCCACGTCCTGGGACGGCGACCACACGACGCGGTCCTTGTTGCGCCACGCTGGCGGGAGCTCACTCGCAATGTGCTGCGAGAGAAACGTCACTGAAAACGGCGCCGCGCCCAGTGCAGTGATCAGACGCACGTTTTCCAAGTCGAACGCGCGGCAAAACTCGAGCGCAAGGAACCGGCTGCGCATGCTCGGCAAAAGAAGCTGCTGGTCGAGCGTCGCCACAATGAACGGTTCGGCCGCGATCGCTGAAAACAAGCTGGCTTTCGGCACCGTCCCGACCGTCCCATCGGCGAGCGCAAGCACGGGCAAGCCTGCAAGCTCCCCGTACGTCATAGGTGTCAAATCGCGCAAGCAGTAGGCGAGCAGGTCGTGGCACAGCCCGACGTGCAGCGACGAGGCCGCGACGCGCTTGAGCCACTCGCGCAGCACGCGCGGCGTAAAGAGGCGCGGCGTCGACTGCATCGTCGTGGTCGCGGCCACGACGCTCGAAGGTACTGTAAACATGGGAAAGTGCAGCCGCGCATACGCTGCGACTTGAAGCGGCATGGTCGGCTCCATGAAATAGCCGTCCGTGAGGCGGCGGTAGCTGCCATCGCCACACAAGAAGAGCTCGAGTTGCGACACCTTGGGGTGCAAACTGCGCTGCACCAGTCGGCCGAGGTCCGTCGACCGACGCAGGGCGGGCCATGCACCATAGAGCATCCGTGGCACGTTCTAGGGCAGAGACTACGTCAACGACCGATTGGACAATGAGAGCTGTACCGCAGCGATGGCGTTGGCCTTGAGCGTGCTCAAGAGCTGCACATAGGCCTCCGTGACCGCGTCCTCCAACAGTGTGAGGTTCCACTCGTCCATCACATGGTTCTTGGGCCCTACAGCAGCGCACCGATAACGATGTCTGTGCTTGCAGTCGAGTCGTACCGAGACCGCGCACGGGCACGTGAAGCGACGGCGCGTCAAGACCAAAGCCCGCATGCACATGCACCGGAAGCCCCGTGTATATGTCGGTGGCAAACGGGGCAAACAGCTGGCCTCGGACGCGCGGGATAGTCGCGCCGCCCGTCGTGCGCACGAGATGTGCCACGGACGCGTGGGGCGAGAGTGCTGGCACCGCTTTCGCCAAGTCTTGGGTCCGACCCACGGCCATGTTGGCACTCACACACCAGTGGTGCACGGCCACCTCCTTCTGCGCACTCACCCGGATCGCGACGTCCGAGATCGCGAAAGGCAGTGTCATCGAGCGCTTAAACACATTGCCAAAGAGGCCTGTCGGCTTTGGCTTGCGCCACTCGTCGTCCTGGAGCAGCGAGAGGCGCTGGCTCAAGACGCGGTCCGCGTTCTGCAACGCGACGTCGATCGTACATGTCCGGAGCTCTGGTGTCAAGTGCCACAGCGTCAAGTGCCGCAAGTAGGACGAGAAGAGCACCGACGTCGGTGCAAACGCATTGGCCGTCGAGAGAAACGAGGCCATGTCCTGGGGTGTGAGCGCGGGCCGCAGCTTGGAATCGGGTGTCGTGCGCAGCGGACACCGGACGATCGTTCCGCTTTGAAGCGACGGCAGCGACGCAAATGGCGCGAGCTGGTCCGAGAAGCTCGCAAACTCGGGCGTTTGCGTGTTGTAGCGCAGTGTCGACGCCTGCTCGAGGTACGTGCCACTCGGGTCAATCACGTAAAAGTCCGTGCCGCTCAGCACTTGGATGCAGTCGCTCACAAAGAGACCCGATAGAAGACCCGCCGAGCCTTTGCCGTACTTGAGAAAGAGCGTCTCGGGCTGCACTTGGACGTCGTGGAAGTGAAACACGATTGCGTCGCGTTGCAGCGCCTGGAACGACGGCCGGCACACCTTTTGGTCGGCATGCGCCCGCGTATCGACTACCACATCGACGCGTGGGCAATGCAGCGCTTCGGATACGTCGAGCATGTCGCGAAGCAGCTTGGTCGCCCACGATGCGTAATTGGCCTCTGGCAAATGCGCCTTGATGGCGACGAGGTGCGGACACATCATCTTGACGCTGTTACACGACGCGTTGGCCACCAGTGCGTGTTTGGAGACCGCCCCAAAGCGCAGCGCGACGTGCGGGGCCACACTCGCGTGCACGAACCGCCGACGGCCGCGCTCGCTGGATTTGTGCCATGCCATGTCATCGACCACGAGCTCGGTTGCGGGCGCCAGCATGCGATCCGTGTCCGGTAGCAAGATGTTTCTGACGCTGTCGGGCGATGCCTGCTCGAGCAAACCAAGGAGGACGTTGACGAGGGCCATGTCGGACGCTTGCAGCGGCGCATCACGCGGCAGGAACGTCAGTGCACGCGCATAATCGTCCATCTCAAAGCTCGCTTTGATCGCAAACGCCTCGAGCAGAGTCGACGGCACCCTAGTAGTTGGTGTCACTTAGCACGACTGAAAAGGAACTGAATCGGACGTACCGCGTGTCGGCGACCGTGACGAGGACGGGGGCGACGGTCTCGGGGCCGTCGTGGGCCACTTGGCAGACGCGCACAAAGCGCATCGAGGTCGTCCAGATCCACGGCGACGACGCCAAGTGTGCTTTCCATGTCTCGTCGTCACTCAAGTTGGCAATGCATCCTTCCAGCGTCGCATACACATTGGCCACGCGTTGGTGCAGAAACGTCGGGTCTTCGAGCGCGACGGCCGACGACGCATGCCGCTCGGCGATGGCCACGAGCTGCTGCGCGAGAACGTCGGCCGAGAGCGTCCATTGACATGCGTCGCGCAAGACTTTCGAGGTCACGTGTCCGTTCAAAATGCACTTGGTCGCCGAGCCGTACCACTAGACAAACACCACGTCATGATTTCTCTTTGATCACGTGATACCTACAATCCACTCGGGCGGCCACGTGGCGTGCGGCGACGCAACTCCACCGGTCGCGACTGTCCACGGCAACACGTCCAACGGGCGCGCTGTCTGGATCGGAAGCCAAGCCACGGCACAGAGCGCCGCGATCGTCTCGCTGTCCTTCTCGGGGGCAAACACGGCATCGAGGTGCTCGTTGACGACGCCGAGGAGGTGGACCGCTCGCATCGTGTCCGGCGCGTTCTCAATGCTGCGAGCGCTCTCGAGCATGGCGAGACACGAGATTGACTGCTGCAGCCCCATGTCCTTCATCACTGCCAATTGCGCCGCCAGCAGCGGTGTCGGAAAGCTCGATGGACCCAGAAGACCTTGGAGGGCGTCCGACGTCGGGTCGTGGAGCTCGTGCAGGGGCCGGTGCGCGCTGCTTGCATCGGCTGTCGGGACACGAACCGTCTCGCGGAGCCGCTTCTGGACGGCCGGGGCCATGCTTGCGTACCGGAGAAACACTTCTTTGACCAAGAGCTCGATCTGGAGCGTCTCATCAAAGAACGTCAAGTGCGGCAACACGTGCTCGAGAAGCGCGTCGTCGTGCGTCACTTGGGCGACCCCCGCGGCCAAGCAAAAGGCGCGCTCGTCTGAAGACGCCAGAGACAGCAGCGGCGGGGGCGCGTAGGCAAAGCCACTGGGCGGCAGCAGGTAACTCGCGCTGTCTAGTGCCACAAGCGTGCTCGCACCGCCCAGCGTCGAGAGCTCAAAGATCGGTAGCGATCGCGCCGTTGCCTGGTTGGCCGGCGACAGCGTCTCAAAGTCGGCCTCGACCAACAGCGCCCGAAACGCACGTGCGACCGGCAGCGGGATGGCTGCGATCGCCGTGCCGCGACTAAAGAGGCTCAAGAGACCCGACGCGTCACACGCAAACGCAAAACCCGACGACAGCATCCACGACGGACACCGCTCGTTGGGGAAGAGCGACGTGTCGAGTACGTACAAGTCGTGGTCCTTGAGAAAGTCCAAGATACTGTCGCGGTCGCCGCGCAACCCTTGGAGCGACGAGAGCACGGGAGTGTCCAGCGGCATGAGCGCCGTGTTGGTGGGGTTGATGCGTACGGGCTTGATCGGCCACTCCAGCAGCGACGTCGGTACGTCATTGCCGTTCGAGACCTGGTCGTCCACGTAGCTCCAGAGCGCCTTCCACCATGTCATCGGGCGGCTCGGGTGCGCGACGAACGGTACACGCGGCTTTTGACGCCACGCCGACGGAAAGAGCGACGACGCAATCGCCCCAAGCTCGTGCAGATCAAAGACCTTGACGTTGGCGCTAGTCACAAAGCCGGGCAGCGCCCGCAAAACGCCGCCGCAGAGCTCCATGTTGAGCACACGGTGCGGGCACATGCCTTCGAGGAGCGTCTGCTCGATCGACGAGCAGACATAAACCGCGTCGCCTTGACCGCGGAGAAGAATGGGTCGCACGCTTTGATCCCGCAGCACAAGAAGTGGCAGCGCGTGGAGCATCTCGAGCTGGGCTTCGTCGCGAATGTCATCGACGCAGAGCTTGACGAGCGCCGGCACCAGCTGCGGCGGCAACGTCTGCAGCCGAATGCGCTCGGCCTGGAGGAGCTGGCGGAACGTACTTGGCGTCGTTGCCCCGAGGAGCACATTCTTCTCAAGCAAGAGCGCGTGCAAAGGCGGTGGAAACGACGCGTACGAGAGACCATGCAGGCGCAAAATCTCCATCACTTCGGTCGCCCGCGCCGACGGCAACGCCGGGTCCAGGGCGAGGACCACGTTGAACGGCACATACGCTCCCGACGTCTCGCAGTACACGAGCTTGTTGGCGCCGACGCGGGCGTAGAGCGTGTCGACGACCGCGGACCACGGCGACGGCGGTCGCTGGGGCGGAAACAGCGCCAAATAGTGGTCTTTCGAGACCATGGCTTGCACGTGCAGCAGCAGCGAGAGGTACGTCGGCGCAACTGCGTCCACAAGAAGCGCCTTGTTCCACTCGGAGCGCATGCGTCCTTCGCCCGTCATGTCATCTACACCATATCAATTCGCCTCACAACATAGAGGAGCGAGGACATACCGCCGTGCCAAATGTCACGCCGATTCGATGAGAGCTCAAAGTACCCGTTGATCTAGATGCAATCCATGGGGTTTCCTCATTCTCAACTCGTCAAGGTACGGACGTACGTGCACGGGAAGACCGACTTTGACAGGCAGCGGTAAAAAGCAAAACGCACGGCCGTCGAGCGGCGTTGGCACAACATCCAAGCGTGCTGCAATCCCCACATATGGAATGAGCTTGAGCTCGGGGTGCGCGAGCGCCATTGCCTTGGCGCTGCCCGCGCCCATGCCGATGGCCATGAGGTAGTTCTCAGTCACCGGCGCCGCATTCCCCGGCTCGGAAAGCGTCACGGAAAGCACGTGGTGGTCGATGCTTGGCGCTGCCTGCCGCTGCAACTGGCGATAAAACGCGTCCTTGTTGGCAAACGCGTCCAGCGCGTTCGGTGGGCGCGGCGGCACGCTGGCTTCATACAAGAGGCGCGGTTCGCTGCCGTCGTCGTCCGTCTTGATGTAGACTGCAATGTGTTCGACGTGTCGCAGAAAGAGCATCGTGGCGGCCAACGACGACTGAAACTGCGTGATGAGCTCGTGCATATCGTGTTGCGTGTACGCCGACCGCTTGATCTCGCTGTGCATGCCCGTCGTGCGGAATGGGAACCGAAAGAGCGTCCCGTGGTACCTACGTCTTGCTGAGGCATGTCATGCCATGAGTACGGTCGTACGGCTCGTCGAGGGTGCAGCCAAAGAGCTTGTAGGGCGCAAACTGGTCGGGAAACTGCGCAATGACGTTCGAGGACGTAAAGTTGATCTTGATGCCGGGCTGCGTTGTCGTTGCGTTCGGTACAAAGGTCGCGTGCGGATCAAACATGACTAGATGCTCCCGCGTCAATGCACGAGAATGACAAAGGGCGAGCGTAATGTACCGAGCGAGCTCCCCGATACGATCGACGGTAAATCCGTGAGATGGTACACCGAGTTGAAGCCAAGACCAAAGCGCCCGGTCGTCGAGACGCGGTGGAGCTTGCTGCCTTGGCCAATGCGCGCGAGGTTCATGAAATCGCGCTCCTGGAACGCCGCATTGTTGTACTACACACAACACTAAGAATGGCATCCACGAGAGAGAGCAGCATACGCAGTACAAGGCGGGGCCTTGCCACGCGGCCATGGGGGCACTCAAGAGCGACGACGTCGCGTACGTGGCGAGGTTGAGGCACACACTCACACGCGTCGCGCCCGCGTCGTCGGCGTTCTGCACGAGTTCGTGGAGCACGCTCGTGCCTTCGGGGTACTGCTCCAAGATGTGTGCGAGGCGTCGTGTGAGCGGCTCCGACTGGCCAAACGCCGTGACACCGTCGAGCGCTTCGGGTTCGAGTCCGTCGAGCGCCGTCGACGAGCTCCGTAGGAGCGATGACCGGAACGAGACAGCACCCAGCTTGCCCGCGACCACGTTCGAGAGCTGCGGGTGCACAAACACCAGGCCCGAGGGCTGCGCCAGCCACGGCGCATCGTTAAAGAGGAGCGACGACGCCAATTCCAACACATTGCTGGCAGTCGGAAGGTACACGTCGAGGCCCGTCGACATCTCGTCGCTGAGCGTTTGCGCGAGCTGGATCGCGAGCGCGACGTCGTCTTTCGAGAGCGGCTGCGTATTGTGAGCCGTAAACATGGCTTCGAGGACGCCGACATAGTCGCGTGCGTGGAAGCGGCGACGCACGCCCAGCGCCGACAAGAGAGATTCGTACGGTAGCAGCTCTTTCGGGACGATTGCGAGGTACTCGTGCGCGTGCACGTACGAGTCGAATGCGACTTGGTCCGCGCGCCAAAAGCGGTCCCGGATCCAAAGCCACGGCACGTTGTGCAGTGCGCTTTGCATGCCATTCGCTGCGCTGGCGTCGCGCACGAGGTACGACGCGAGGGCCGCGTACAACGTTGGCACCTGCGCAGCCAGTCGCGCGAGATGTGCGTCGTCGTTGCCAATGGCGCAAAACGTCGCATGGAGCTCGACGAGCTGTCGGAGAAGCACGGGTAGCGCGTGTGGAGCGTCCCATCCAAACAGCTGACGCAGCGCGCTCGATGCGATCGCTCCGTCCAGGATGAAGAAACTCGCCGAGCAAAGCCACTGCGACTCGGCAGGTCGGAGCGCGAGCGGGGACGTGACGAGCGGCGGCGACGACGGCCACGGCAGGCAGGCATACGGCGGCGACTGCAGCACCGGCATCCACGCCAAGAGCACGAGCTGTTCGCGAAACGCAATGATGTCTTGCATCTCCAATTGCAACGCAGCGGCGTGCGCCGCGTCGTCCACCTCGTTGTCCTCGTCGTCTTGGAGCGTCGACGATCGGCTATCTAGAAAGGCCTTGAAGAAGCTTCCCGTCTTCTTCTGGAGCGACATCTTCTTCTTCTTCGTCGCCACGTGCATGGACACTTGGGGCTGGAGAAGCCGGTCGGCGTGGGCATCAACATACTTGACAAACTCTTTGGTGCGCCGTTGAAACTCGGCAGTCTCCTCGGCCACACCCGTTGTCGCAATGACTTCAGCAATGTGCAGCACGGACGACCGCGTGAGCATCTGCTGCATGCCCAAAAGACGCAGCGCTCCGAGGTACGCTGGCGTCTGGAGCGACGCCGATGGAAAGCAGCTCGGTTCGATCATGTCGACAAAAGCCTCAATGTCCGGGTCGTAGAGCTCGGTGACGTAGCGCCACGATCCTGTCATGGTCGCAAACACCTGGAGCTGCTGGGCGCGTCCGATGAAGCGCGGGTCGTCGCGTACAAACGTCGTCACGTGGAGCAAGAAGCCTTCTAGCAGCGACAGTTGCATCTCGGGCTCCAAATTCGACCACACGTTGGCGGCAAACATGCTCGTCATGAAGAAATTGACGCGCGAGATCGTTGGGAGCCCGAGCTTGGTGAGCACCTTCTTGGAGAGCTCGGGATGCACGACAAAGCGGCCATCCAAAAGGCGCGGTTCGATCTCCGGGGCCACGCACAGCCCGGGCGTGAGCGGTACAAAGAGACTGCGGTCGTCGGTCTCATCCCATGCCACCGCGTTGCTCTGGCGAAACCCAAAGCCGTGGAAGAGCGGCAACGAGCGCAGTGCCTGCACCGTCGACGCGCTCATGTCGTCGCAGTGCAGCGACACAATGTACGTTCGGAGCTCGTCGCGCTCGACCGCCGAGAGCACCTCGACGCGGTCCCGGGACAAGGACGCGACGACGCCTTCCGGTGTCGGCTGCTGAAAGTACGTCCAAACTTCCGGTGACACTTCGGTGCGAAAGAGGTCGTGGGCCAAGACATCCACTTGCATGCGCAAAAGGATTGCAACGATCGATGGCGCGAGCCACGCCGTGTGGAGAATTGACGACTGCTTCCGGAGGCTGCACACGGCGCCGTTCTGCGTCGGGACGATCGGCCACTGGTCACAGAGGTCGAGCAGCGTGCTCGGGCTGTTTCCAATGTACGCCCAGAGGTCTTGAAACCACGCGAGCGTTGGGAGGTCGGTTGCATCGATCGACCAAGCGACGCGCGACTGCCGCGCCCAGTGCGGTGGCAACACGAGCGGCAAGAAGTCGCCGAGGTCCTGGACGCCCATCACTTGCACGTTCATATGCGACGCGAGCGATAGAAGCGTCGCCTTGCAGTCGCCCACTGCCTCCATGTCGACAAGTAGCTGGCGGGCGCTGGCGCCAAAGAGCTGCAATTCGAGCTCCGAGCAGAGGTAGTACGTGGTGGAACACGCCTCCTTGGTCGTCGACGTCAAGAGCCACTCGAGCGCGGCTTGTGCGTTGTTCTCATGCTTTTGCAGCGCGGCCACACACAACGACCGCGGAAACTGCATCGAGAGCAGCTGTTGCAAGCCAGCGGCGTCCACAGGAGCTTGGATCGCAAACCGCCCGACCGAGTGGTCCATGAGCGGCAGCAGTTGCACGCCGTCGAGGTCGTCGCGCGGTCCATCGCGCAGCACAAACGCAAGCAGTGCGTGCATCGCGGCCGCATTGCTGCCGTGGCACGTCGCGTGCGCACGGTACCACGCCCGGGCGTGGCGCGGACCAAACTCGATTGGGATCGTGTTCGTGGTCAGCAGCAGCGTCTGCAGCGCTGGCGGCACCGACACGAGGCCAAGGCCATCGTGCACGAGGAGAGGCTCGAGCGCGTCCTTGTCACTCGATGGTCCAAGCACGAGTGCGTCTCTGGGCGACACAAACGTCTTTGTGAGCGTATACAGACACGGCTTGTCGGCGACTTGCGTCAGCGCCGAGGTCACGAGCGTCTGCCACGGCGGCAGCGGCAGCTGCAGCGGAAAGAGGTGTGGCGTCGTGTGATATTGCGTCATGGCCTCGATCGCGCGCGCGTAGCAAGGCGCAACGACCGACGCCAAGAGACTCGAATTCCACTGCGCGCGCAAGAGCCCTTCGCCCGTGAGACCGTCGCCCGACCACACGTCGCGCCGGTTGGACGAGAGCTCAAAGTAGCCATTGACCTAATCACGCAACGTTCTCAGCTCCTAACCCACCAGCACGGTGTCGTCGTACGTGGATCGGAAGCCCCGTTTCGACAGGCAGCGGCAAGAAGCAGAACGCACGGCCTTGCAGCGGTGTCGTGACGTCCAAGCTCGCGGCAACACCGCCATACGGCACAAGTCGCAGCGAGGCGTTCTCCGGGTCAATCGCCATCGCCGTGCTCTCTTTGCCCCCAAGCTGGTTGCAGATGAGCCACGTCGATGTCGCGTCGTTGTTCGAGCCAAAGTTCCGGGTCGTAATCTCGAGCGGGTAGTCGCAAATCTGACCCTGCAGCGGGAACGCTTGCGCCTTGAGCGATGCTTGGCTGCGCTGCGCTTGGAGCTCGCGCGACAAGTTGGTGATGCTGGTTGTGTGCAGCGGTGTTGGCGCCGACTGGCCTGTCTCCCACTGCGAAATGTGAATCGTCGTCACGTTGCGCAGAAAGAGGAGCGTCATGGTCGACTCGGCGGCAAAATCGGAAAGGAGCTGCGACACCGAGGCGAGCGTTTGCGCTCGGGACGTGAGTTTGCTCGTCTTGGCTTGCTCGGGCGTGCGCAGGGGCAGGCGAAACGTCGTGCCCTACATGTTCATGAGTGCATCCTCCACATGCAAGCGCGCTACGTCAAAGGGCGATCGAAGGTCGCAGCCAAACCCTTCGAACGGGCAAAACTGGTCCGGGTACTGCTCGAGGAGATCACGCCGCGTCATAAAGTTGATCATTTTGCCGGGGTTGCTCGGGTTCACATTGGGCAAGTGGCAGGCCTACACTCGAGCTATCACCGACGCGTGCGAGGAGGAAGTCGCATTACATGCGGGTCAAACATGACAATGTGGCTGCCGCTAATGAACGTCGGAAGGTCCGTCATGTGGTACACTACGTATCGTCGTTGGCTTCTACGATGCATGCAAGAGCGTACCCGAGTTGAAGCCAATGCCAAAGCGCCCGGTCTTCCAGCCTTGGGATGCATCCTTCTTGAGCGAATCGCCAATGCGCTACGCAAGTACGTTGCACATGCTCGTCGACCAGGAGAGCAGTACCTGGATGGACGCAAAGTCGGCATCCGTGAAGCGCGCATCGTTGTGCACAAGAAGCGATGGGCCCTGGAAGGACGCGAGCTTCGTGTACGCGAGGTGCTCGGCGCCATGCGTGCGCTTGTCGAGGCAGAACGAGATGGTCGTCGCGCCTGCGTCGTCGGCGTTCTGCACCATCTCCTTGAGCACCGAGGTGCCCTCTACCCTCGCAGCACCATCATGAGGTCGTCGTCGACCTCGAGCAGGAAGCGCATGGACGTACCCGGGTAGTTGCGCAGGATCTCGCGGATGCGCACCGTGAGGTCGATCTTCTGGCCAAAGTCATCGCCGAACTGGACGACCTCGTCCATCGCCATCCCAATCCAAATCTGGTTGCTTTCGTCGAAGATGACGACCTCCCAGAGATAATAGGATGCTTCCTCGGTGCCCCAAAACTCAATTGAGTTTTGCATGTGATGGAAAGACATTGCACGCGACTCATCTTTTCTCAATTCGACGATCAACCTCTCAAAAGCCATACGACATGCGAGAAAGGCCAGCAAAGATCGCACGCGCGCAGCTTCAACCTCGCTTCAAGCACGAGGTAACAGCACACTGCACCGCGCCTCCATGAAGCGCAAGAAGCGCCAGTGCTTACCCTGTCTGCACCATGGCTTTGACACGCCGAGGATGCTTCGTGCGGCGACCACGCACCGTCGCTGGGTTGTGGTTCGCTGCCCGAGCGATTGCATGGTGGGTCAACTGTGCTAGGTAGAGCTGCCTTACCCAGTCGACCT